GAAGAGAGGGGAGAGAAGAGAGGAGGGAGGAGGGAAGAGAGAGGAGATAAGAGAAGAGGAGAGAGGAGAGAGATGAGAAGAGGGGAGAGAAGAGAGAGGAGAGGAGAGAGGAGAAGAGGAGAGGAAACAGGAGAGAGCAGAGAGAGGAGAGGAGAGGAGAGGAGAGAAGTGAGAAGAGAGGAGAGAGCAGACAGGAGAGAAGAGAGAGGAGAGGACAGGAGAGGAGAGAAGTGAGAAGAGAGGAGAGAGCAGAGAGGAGAGAAGAGAGAGATGAGGAGAGAGGATGACCTGGACCTTAGTTTCCTGATTGGTGTTGCGCGTGGGGTGTTATTATCTTTGCGATGTACGTGTCACGTGTCTGCATTCGGGGTCGTGGCTCCTATCAGGTTCTTGTGTTAGGGCGACGGGCGACAGTGCCGTTGCATGTTATTTCGCGTACAGCATCTGAACCAACTGGTTCCGGTGATCCGATGGTGTGTATCGTTTTGATCCCGGTGATCCTGCTCTTGGTGCATCGTGGAGCTTCCCTCTGCACTTTCCTTATAGGTATCTGGTACATTGTTTATGTTGGTTACGCTATGGAGATTCTGCTCCGCCTATGGCTCCGGCAGGGCACTTGTCGCTAACCCCAAGCCATCATACCTTAAACCCTGATCTGGCCATTTTGAGCGTAATATGAGCCCCTAAGCCCTCAACCGACGCAAGCAGAGCAAGGATGCTTTACCACCGATTTGCGGTGTCTGGCCTTGCGTCGCCAGACCTGCAACTGGTGGAGGGCACGGCACCTCGGCAATGGTCAAAGGTGAAGGGTTGAGGCTTCGCCATGAGAGTCTATGATTTGGCGATTTGTGGCTTTGGAGTGTGGGCTTCAGGCTTCAGAAGCTCAAGCCAGGGTATCCTCCACATGCTGGGCCCATTTTTCAGGGGTCTGTATAGGTCTAGATGGAGCAATATACATACTCATCAGGATTTATGGCTGGGCTTCGGGCTTCTCAAGATGCGAAAATGCTTTCTTGCTCAGTCCCTTGAGAATTTCTTAAGGTGTCCGGCACTTGAAGGTGTAACGTTTCACAGGAATTGTAAGGCTTGACATGACATGGTGGGAGCACTTACAGTCTACTTGTTTGTGTCTCACTTTCCAAGAGAGCTGGGCAGGCGGGCGGGCAGGCGGGCTGGAGCGTGTCTCTCAGTTGGCTTCAACTGCGGAGTATGACTGTTGATATTGTCGCTCAATTCTCTTGATGACCTGCGTAGTAGGGCTTGACGTGGGCACGTCATAGGGTCTACCCGAAGAAGTCAGCACGCTTTCTGAAATGTGGCTACAAGGAACTTCATAACCAATGACAAGTTCCAAGCAGGAACTAGAATCGGGGATCCTCCTATCAACCCTGAACTCGAAGTGGGTGGGAAGGGGCGGTGAGGGGCTGTGAGGAGTTTCATTATGAACTTGAGAGGACTAGTCGAAATTCGCATCTGCTTCTTGAGTACCTGTTTGCCGCTGCGGAGCTGAATAATGAATTGACGACAGCTAGAGGTCCTCACCTGTGTCATGCGGACCGCTGAGCTCCAAACAAGTAACTTAGAGATCTATACGCCTGAAACCCTGAAATCCGGTGATCCAGTCAACCCCCAGTTTTACTGCCAGATCGATCGAATCAAGAGCAGCTGGTCCAATGGGCAAAAAACCGTCTGCAACCGGACTGGCGAGCAAGCTGCAATTAATGGTTTCGGGGGATTACGGCCTAGGATTTAGCGAGTTTAAACAAAATGAAAAAGTTTCTTGATGTGGGGTAGGAAGTGTGGTAGCATCTAGGGCCATGAACTACTGTGACTCACGTGTGCTAGGCCACTACGGGTGGTGAGGGGCTGCCTGCATCCATAGTCAGGAGTTTGGGATTGTGTGTGTTTGGGATGTTTTGGGGTTGTATGAAGCATTTATGGCTTAGGGCCTGCTGCCTTAACCTTTGTTTCTACGGGGATGCGGCTGTCGGGTAACACTGGGCCAATTGAGGAGCACATGGGGCCCCACATGGGACTGGGAGGTCAGGCATACCGTCTGTGAATCCGCACGCTTGCCTCACGAACCTATTCCTTCGCTTCAAATTGAAAAAATCCGCGAGCCTTCCGCCTCATCCCTTATTTGAGGTCAGCTTCCGATATGGTACATGATGCCCTTGGACACGGAGAAAGCTTTCAAGGAAATGGGAGTGACTGCGCAGTAGGAGCTTAAGTCAAGACTCCCGAAGCTGTCAGGAGTGACGGGGCTGAGAGTCCAAGGTTATGCGTTGACAGTTGAGTGTGGAAGTTAGGAGTAGCGTTGTACCTTGAAACTCCCATGGTTACTGTACCCAGGCGATGTAGTAGTTAACCTGAAGTAAAAGACTTGCCTTCTGATGTTCTTCCGCATTTGGTGATTCTATTTGGGCTTCCGGTCTGCGATTTAGATGGCAAGGGCTTATGTGGCCCGTGAGATGCATTGTAACGGGGAATCCTGGAACTGTGTACAATTTCTGATACAGCATGGGTTCTTGGCACGCAAACCAGGAGTTGCGACTAGCTCATACGATAGCTACTGCCACCAGTGCTGTGTTCGGACAAGCAGTCTTCCTTGAGCTTTCCCGCTGCCTGATACCATACTACAATTTAGGTGGAATGCCTTCGCGGGGAATGATGCGTTCTCGAGAAAATTGAGTTCAGACATGCAACCTTATCACCGTAGACAGAGACCGCAGTTCTGGATATTCCAGTTAAACGTCGCACCCCAAAGTCATGGGTGTGGGTAGTAGGGACTCAGGCAGCAGGGCTGCATGAAGTTGCCAGGCTGAGTTCTTTTTCGCTCCCGTTGGAGGTCTGCGTGTAGGGAATTAGGGGTTCAGGTTAGCGACCATGCACAATATGCGATGAAACTGAGACTGTTTTCGGACCCTTCGCAGTCTAGAATTTAAAGCCTCAACTTCTGCCGATGCCGCTGCAACCCCATCGTCAAGTTCCTATTTATGCAGAGCCAAGAGGCCCCAAATCCCATGCCCCAACACCGAGAGAGGTCTTTTGAGATTACTAGGTTTTCTTTCTTTAAATCCAGCCTTAGGGGCCTGTGTGCGAAACAAAAAAGGTATAAGGTACGAACATCATGCTGTAAAACCGCATTGCCAAGTTTAATCCCAGTTGAAAGAACATCTTTTGCGATCTGCCCAGTACTCCAAGAGGATGACGACCTGAACATTCAACCCTGAACGGTGCTGTCCAGCTGAACTTGATGTAGGCCCGACAGCCTATGGAGTAAGACCAGACCCCAAACGTTAAAGCCCAACACCCAGAACAGAACCCCCAACGGGTGCAAAGCGCGGGCCTCTGGAAAGATCTGCTTCCGACGGCATTTTAGGCGCGAGCTGGATACCAGGATTGGGTGATCAACCCTCCTGTGCAGAAACCCCAAACATGTATCCTTTAGGGTCTTGGGTTGATGCCCGAATTTGGGTTTTGTGATCTAGGGTGCGGTTTTGCATGGGATTTATCATTGGACTTCATGGCTTAGGACTTGAGATTCAGAGTTTTGTGGCTACTTAGGGTGCACTGGAGAACTGTACGTAGACTTTATGCTCAAGGGTTTGGGGTTTGAGCTTCTGGCTTGTCATTTTTAAGGCTACACGATCTAAGGCACCTTCCTCCATGAATTGTGATTGCCCCCAGTCTCCATTCTCCTCTGATGACATGGTCCCAAGGTGAGTGGTGTCCCGGAGGTCCAGAGCTGTAGATGCAAAGGTCACAAGGGAGGTTCAATCTTTTTTTGTGAAGCGAGGTGCAAAGTCTAGAACTTGACACACTATTCTGGGAGTTTCTGTCTGCAGACGGCGCGCCAGCACAGACTCTGGAAACGCGTGTGTAGCAAGGATGGCTAGTCTGAAAGTTACTTTGTCTTCGGCGTAAGGAGCCATAGAACACTTTGGAGAGAAGACCATGGCTACCACTTAGACCTGTCACCTCGTTGCTTGTTTCGTACCAGCGGCGAAGTTCTGCTTTGGGACCGCCTTGAATCAGCAGCCAGATGCCCCAGGGCTCACCAGAGGAAAAAACGCGCGGAGGTTCACAGATCCCTGAGCGAGGCTATATATGCTTAAATAATATTCAACTATTGCAAGAACATCAAGAACAAAATTTGCTCCAGCTGGAGCCTCTAGCATGGATTCCCGTGAGCCCAAGTAGTAGGAGGCTTCGAAGCAATGTTTTGAGAATGCAGCATGCTTCCCAATGCAGTAGCCAAGCGCTCATAATGCGCATGTGCAACACGGACTATTTCAGGAACCGTATAGCAGTCATTTGATAGTCATGGGGTGCTTATTTGGGGTTGGGGACGACAGCTTCACCCTGGCTACTGTCAATATTGGCCACTGGGGGTTGACCCTAACATCTTTGGTCATGTGGCTCCTTCCCCATGAGGCTCCCATGCCTTAAGCGTTTTGATCGAAGGTCCTACAAGCCGGACAAATGGGCATCCATAGGATCGACATGTAGGTTTGAGCCCCCCCCTAGCAACGCACTGCTAGCTACCAAGGGCCATACATGTATTACTGTAGGATGTCGCGGTCGCTTTTGGCTGGCTTAGGGGGTAACATTTCTGAAAGTCAGCGCTTTTTCTAAGCGTGTATGAGCAGATGGTAGTTCTTTCTCCATGTCAAGAATCTGGGTCCCCATAATTGTCCGGTACGCCGGAGAATCGAACAGACATCAAATGTTGGACAATTCTACCGTTTGGGCTGCAGGAGCCAGATAAAAGCTTGAGTAAGGAGCTGGTAATCGGGGAAAAGCTTAGCCCCAGGCCTTTAGTCTTTTCCCACTAGATGGAAGGTACTGGAAGTGTTCTCTACATGTGCGGACTTTCGCAAAGCCGGAATAGTTTTGCGGGTTTAGAGGTTTGGGTCTTGCGGCCCAGGGTCCGTTGCGCATAAGCCTTAAACAACCCGCAACACTACAGGTTTGTCGAAGTACTCGGGGTCTCAGCCTGGATTTGCTAACGCAAGATCTTGGCGCGGAAGCTCGGTACTTGCCATGAACCTGTGAAGAAACCATCGCGCTTAGAAGTTGGGGCCTCGCAAGGTGGTGAGCCAGCTCACAGGTTATGGCGGCATGGACCGCCAGGGTCATCCGACAGACAACTCATCAATGTCTGCACGCGAGTTGGTCAGCTTCATGAGTTGTGCGCTAGCGGTCTCCAGCCCGGACCCTGCAACCCCAACCGAGCTATCCGATGCGAGCTGATCCCTAAATCCTGCAGCAGCAGTAGAAATCTTAAGCTCCCCCGAGAAGATCCACAAGACTGTACAGAGCATTCTAGACACTAATGGGTGGTTTCTCAGCTGCGCCTCACGTTTTAGGGTGCCCTATACTAAAGCAGCACCCTATACCACTTCAGGGCGCATGCAGGGAAAACCTCACCTCGAGAACCTGTGACTTTATATGCAGCCAATTTAAAAATGCCGGTGAGCAATCAGAGGCTTAAGGCCCCAACCCATATGTACATATGTACATACACATGTCTTGCCCCCCCCAACCAAGCTTGGTCCTGAACATGGCTGATGACTTACAGAGCACAACCCCTGAACATCCTAAACTCCCTGGGCTCCCGGGCCATGTCGGCCAATGTCCTTGCCTTGGGGCTTCTGTGGCTGCTGCAGGGCACAAGGTGCAAGGCTTGAAAGCCTATTCACTTTGGAGATTTTTCTACAGATATGTGAGGCATTCTTACACATGGTCCAGAAAGGGATCCTAGAAAATTCCCGCAGTCCCTTGCGCATCCCATGTAAAGATTGTAGAGGGTTAAATAGAGATTGACAGAGATTACCAAGTTCTGCACGGATATTGAATTTGAGGAATGTATAAGGAGCATTGTGGGGCATGTTGCCAGGATTTACAGGTTGGCTATGGGATTGGGCAATTTCAGCTACGATGGTATGTATGATGTAAGTCACTGTGAGTATCGGGCTCCCCAGGGTTTTCTGCGAGTAAGGTTTCGGATCAGAGGCACATTTGCGGGTTTCTAGGTTGAGGGGCTTAGGGACATATGATGTTCTTGTTACGGGATCATGGCGGTAAACTGCTCCCAAGCCCGGAGCTACGCCTGTCAGACTCTGACCTCCTTGACAACACTTGACTTGCCGTGGAGACCGCAACTTTAGACTACTTTGAACTCCACGCGGGTTAGGCCCCAAGGCGCGGGAAACCTCTAGTGTAGGATCTCATTAAGCTTGAACAGCAAATGTCGGTTGTATGGGGCCGTATAGGGCCTTTACCAAAGAATTAGAAAGGGGGATCCCGAGACGAACCCTGTAAGGATGACAGGAGCCACTTTAAAAGGACAGCTTCCTTTAGTGGGCGCTTTTTGGTTCCATGTCAGTGATTGGGAGGGCTGTTGAGGGTACGTAATGCAGGGTTTAGTCGATCAACAGTACTTCCCATAAGGGTCTATACCAGGAGTCTCAGCTCAATCCCCCATGAGAGTAATACATGTATACAAAGGTCTACGCCGCAATCCCTGTAAATTTCTCCCTATTGCTAGACATGCCTATGAACCCCAGACAGCGATTCTCAGCAGGAGCGATGCCGATGGGAGTTGGCTTTGGGAAGACCTGCTGCGCGAGACCCCGAGCCAGGAAGGTGCAGAAACAGACAACAAAAGGTAATTGAACATCTTAGGACTTCCAATTTTCAGTAGGTCGTTTAAGCTCAAGTGCAGGCAAGCCCTGAAAATGCATGCTAGACGGAAAGGCACGCAATCTGCAAGTTGCACTAACAAGCAGCGCTAGACTCTTAGACAAGAAAATGATGTTGACTTGACTCCAAGGTCCACATGAGGGGCCTACCAGTGTCAAATGCCCTTGACCACGGGATTCTTCGGAGTCTTTACGCAAGGACGTTCTAGAAGAAGCATCCTAGTGTAATTATACGGGTGATGCTAATGTTCAAGCACCTTATAGTGAGGTTCTTGTTGTTCAGGCGACATGTTGTAGAAAAGCACCCACGAACCCTAAACCCTAAACCGAAGAAGCCCGAGCTACTCAACAGGCATCCGGCGCTTGGCCCTGACGGATGGAGACAAAGGAGCGATGGTCATGCATAACAGGGGTTAGAGTTTGTGGCTGGGGTCTGTCCAGGGTTTCCACATCGGGCTCCCAATCGCATTGAAGATGACTCCTGAAATGAAACTCCAATTGTGGGACGTGAACAA